TTTGTTTAACCTTAAAGTGTGTCAGAGACCTAGTTTTATATCATCACATAAGCTAGAAAAAAAAGTGCTTGAAATCATTTCTGGATGGTAAATTATTTTTTTAAAATTTCTTAAGTATCTCTATTTAAAATTTTTAAGGTTTAAAAATAAAGATGATTTTTATATGCATTTGTATTAGCTTCTTGGTGCCACTATAACAAAATATCACAAATTTTGGCTTAAAACAATGGGATTTATTTTCTCATCGTTCTGGAGGCTAACAGTTCCAAATCAAGGTGTTACTAGGACAGTGTTCTCTCTTAAGGTTCTAGGGAAGAATCTGTTCCATGCCTTACTCTCAGCTCTAGTGTTGCCAGTAATCCTCAGCGTTTCAGTCTCTGCTTCTGTAGTCACTTGGAATTCTCCCTGATTATTTGTTTGTGTCACTCTCCTTATAAGGGCACCAGTCATATTGGGTTAGGCCCCACCCTAATTAAATATGATCTCATCTTAACTTGATTACATTTGCAAAGAAGACCCTATTTCCAAATTAGATCACATTCCACTGAGACCAAGGCCTTCGACTTCAACATACTTTGTTGGGGGATATATTTAACCCATAAAAGCATTCAGTAGTTGAATAGAAACAGCCTAAGACAGAAGTTGGAAAATGGACCTCAGAGACGACAGCAGCTGTGATCCTTTTGTAGTTTTTTAAGTTTGTTTATTTTGAGAGAGGGAGAGAGAGCACAGGAGCAAGAGAGGGGCAGAGAGAGAGGGAGAGGAAGAGGGAGAGGGAGAGAAAGGGAGAGAATCTCAAGCAGGCTATGCACTCTCAGTGCGTAGCCCAACAGGAGGCATGCATCCACAAACCATGAGATCAAAACCTGAGCCGAAATCAAGAGTTGGGACACTTAACCAACTGAGCCCCTCAGGCACTCCCCTTTTTGTATGGGTTTCAAAGTCTTGACTTTGGGTCACCTGCTTGCACATTGCTAATCATAACCTTGGACTATTTGTGATCTAAGGAAGTTATAATTTCTCCTTGGAGCATTTTTCCATTGACCTGTTATTTCACAAGTCTTTCCCAATGAATCTTCTCAGATCAGAAACCATAAACAAGTATGCCATTTACATATTTAATTTTATAGTGAAACTACTGAAATGTTTTCCAGAGTAGACCATGAATTGAAGTCTAGTGTTCACTATCTTGTTTTATGTCCTTTGTATTTACAGATTTAACATTTGGAATTTATACTTTCCATGAATGATACCAAAGATTCAGTATCAAATGAATTTGTAATGCTTTTGAGGCATGGTTTTGAATCCCATATTTTATAAGCTTGTTTTTTTTGGAATGAGTCACTTAACTAGCACGTGAGCCTACTGATCCGTTTAGCTTTTATATCATGGTGAAATTTTATTTTTCTCTACTCATTAACTCTATTACATATGTTTATATAGTTTCTAGGAGTTTTAATGGTTATTAATAAAATAATACACCTTTGCATGTTTAAAGACATACCCAATTAATTTTGTCCTCAAATTAAACTCTTAAAATGTTCAGTGATTAAACTCCTGAGAGTGCCGTATTAAGTCTATAACTAAATACAAGTGCTATTTTATTGCAGTACCCATTTATGCAAGTGCCATTACCTTACTATCTTCCCTTAAAATTTGTTTATAAATGGTTCCTCACAATTATCCCTTGTATACAGCTTTTGTGATAATTGTGTATCTCTAGACAGTGGTTAGAAAGCATAGCTTCTCTAGCAGGACAACGTCAAGCATATTTTTATTTTATTTAAAAAATTTTTTCATGTTTATTTATTTTGAGAGAGAAGAGAAAGTGTGCCCATGTGCAAGCGGGAAAGGGGCAGAAAGAGAGAGAGGGAGAGAGAATCCTAAGCAGGCTCCACGTTGTCAGCATAGAGCCAGACATGAGGCTCGATCTCACAAACTGTGAGGTTATGCTCTGAGCTGAAATTTAAGAGTCAGACGCTTAACTGACTGAGCCACCCAGGTGCCCCAAGCATATATATATTTTTTTTATCTTAATTCTTTTACATAATAACTCAATTTCACTGCTCTTAGCTGTTGCATTTTTTCTATGATGTCTTTTTCTGCATTGTATCTGGCATTCCTATGTAATTAGTCCCACAATGTTTTCCTTTTTTTTTTAAATCTTCATTTGTTTTTTTTTTTCCCCTCATAATTAACTTTTCATCTGTGTCTTTATGGTTTTATTTTGCTTTCATGGTCCTTTTGATCTCTATGATTTCTCAGTTTACCCATAGCTGAAGAATGAATTTTTTGTAGTTGCAGAGTATATATTTACGTAGGTAAAGCTCAGAAATCAATACAGTGTTTTCAAGCATTGTTATTCATTTTAACTTCCAAGTAGATAATTATAGTGTTTACCATCACATTACAGGAATTCAAAAGTTAAATTAAAAACTTTAGGAAATAAGTGCTAAGGAAATTTAAAATTGTTACAAACCAGTAGTTAACTACTATCTTAAACAATTACAAATAATAGATGTAATTTTCATGTGATCACTGGATGCCTGTCCCTTCATGGACTGGAATTGTCAAATGAAAACCACAACTCACTAAACCTTAGGGAAATACACTTTAATCAAATGGATTGATTCTATGAAGAAAATAAAAGCCTATTTTTTTGTTAAAAATGAGTCTAGTATGTACAGGAAAGAACCTTAATGAACATCAGAAAGGTCATAAATTCGTAGTGTGATACCAGGCACATTAAGCGAGCAGCTTGATGAAGATTTCTCAACCTTGGCACCATTGACATTTTGGGCCACATAATCTTTTAATGCAGGTGGCCGTCCTGTGTATCCAAGAAGTATGTTTAACATTATCCCTGGCCTCTATGTACCACATGCCAGTAGCGTAAACATGTTCTTTTTTTTTTTTTTTTTTTTTTTTTTTTTTTTTTTTTTTTTTTTCTTGTATCAGATTTAACCTTTAGGTTTTCTATTCTTTTAGGCTTTGTTGGTAAAAATTTTGAGCCTAGGGGACAGGATTGTCTCCACTAAAAGAGCCAAGTGGACCCTATAATCTTCTTTCTTCTTTAGTTCTGCCTTTGTGTTGATTATTTTCTGATCCCTCCACCCTTTAAGCAAAACTTGTGGCACTATTTTCCATTCCTTCACAACTGTCTCTCTGATTAGTGACTTGTTATATCTTTTGAGCTAAGGAGTTAATAAATGGTTATGGCTTTATGGGTTATCCTCCCAAATCAGATTTGAGTTTCGGTAGTCCTGAGTCTGAAAAGGCTGGGTTAAGTGGAGAATTTTAAATTAAGACAGGGCCCTTAACAAAGATGTTTTTGGTCAAATTAGCCCTTTAGTGCTTGTAGCACATCATAGAACTTTATTTTGTTTGAATCTGCACAATGGAGAGCATGGCTTCAAAAGATTGGAAAGGCCCTTATTTGAGATAAAGTCTAGTTAGGTATCTTATGCAGTGAATGAATGACAGTTTGTGAGCATTGAGAGGGCTGGGGTATGAGCTTGGTTAGGCAGATTTGGATTCCTAAGAGAAATCCCTGAATTATCTTTGATATCTTAAATTTCTTTATCACCTAAATGCTGTCAAAGCATCTAATCTCAGGAGTTCTTACTTTGAATCAGCTCAGAAATAGTGTCACTTCTTCACTGGGTGTTTGAACACTGAAAGACCTAGCTAGTTGTCTGTCCTCAAGTCCCTAATACTGCCAGACTAACTGTTTTAAACACTGGTTTTATTGAATCGCAGAAATCTGTGTCCCTCCACCTGGCTGCATCGTGTCTATTCAAATTTATCTCCTAGTGAAAGGAGCATACTTTTCCAGCAGACCAACTTTTTTTTTTTTTTTTTTTTTTAACTAGCTCATGAATACACCAAGCTCATGCCTGTTCTGTGCTTTTATTACGTTTTTCACTCTTGTGTGGGATTAAAAGGCTCCTTCTTGCTGCCTGATCATATTCTTACTCATCACCCCAGGTTCACCTGAAGCCTGCGTCCTGCACAGGGCTATCCATGGCTTGTTTATTCCACATTAATATCTACTTGTTTTTATGTGAAAGCATTGACTACAAGCAGTACTCATTTTGGTCCTTAACAATATATGGCTTTGTTCAAAGTGATAATAGATTTGTGTGCATGTTTCATTTTGCCTCTTCAGCTAACTCATACATTTCTGGAAGGCAAGTGTTTCATGCTTTTTATATTTTTAGTATGGGATTATATGCATAACAGGTACTTAGTAAAAGCTTCTATTAATGGATGGACAGGTACTGATTGTATTCTATTAAAAAAAAATTGTAAAACCAAAATCAAGAAAACTTAGAGAAACAAACGACCATATGTAGTCCCAGATTAAAGTTAAGAAGGGTGATCTTTCTGGATGTCATTGAAAAGAAGGTGTATTTCCTTAGGTGAGAAATTGAAAGTAAAGGTACCTTGGAAAAGAGTAATCAACTAGTGGCCTATAAAAGGAAATCTGGGGGTGCCTGGGTGGCCCAGTTGGTTAAGCGTCCAACTTCAGATCAGTTCATGATCTTGCTGTTCATGGGTTCGAGCCCTGCGTGGGGCTCTATGCTGACAGCTCAGAGCCTGGAGCCTGCTTCTGATTCTGTGCCTTCCACTCTTCTCTGCTTCTCCCCCACTCACACTCTGTCTCTCTCACTCTCAAAAATGAATAAATGCTAATAAATAAATAAATAAATAAATAAATAAATAAATAAATGGAAATCTGTTTAGCTCATTTGTAATACATCTGTGAATTATGGTGCAATTAATGCCACTTTGGTCGTGACATGTATGTCCTATTGAGCGACTGGTAGTGGAAATGAGTAAATGTAAAAATAATGATTGATGTGGGTCATAAAACATTTCGTTACAGAATTCTAACTGATCTTCATTTCTTTCTTTTTAAGCACCCACATACCTCTTGTCACTGCACAAATGGACATTTGAAAGTGTTTGAAAGTGCTGGTTGTCAAACGCTCGCGAGCATGGAAACCTCGTCAATGTTGTCCTCACTGAATGATGAGTGTAAATCAGACAATTACATTGAGCCTCACTACAAGGAATGGTATCGAGTAGCCATTGATGCGCTGATCGAACATGGGTTAGAAGCGTACCAAGAATTTCTTGCCAAGGAACGAGTATCAGACTTTCTAGCTGAAGAAGAAATTAATTACATTTTGAAAAATGTCCAGAAAGTTGCACAAAGTACAGCATATGGTACTGATAACTCCTATGATGATACCTCATCTTCAGGGACTTACTGGCCCATTGAGTCTGACGTGGAAGCTCCAAATCTTGACTTAGGCTGGCCGTATGTGATGCCCGGACTCTTAGGTGGTACCCATATAGACCTCCTCTTTCATCCACCAAGAGCACACTTACTTACAATTAAGGAAACTATTCGGAAGATGATAAAAGAAGCAAGAAAGGTAATCTTTTCCGTTTCTAAATGAAATTGTTTTTTAGTGAAACTTTTTTAAATTGAAGTATAGTTGACTTACAATGTTACATTGTTTCAGGTGTGCAACATAGTGATTCACCAAGTCTATACATTATGTGGTGATCACCACTAGTGCAGTTACCATCTGTCACCATACAACACTATTAAAATACCATTGACTGCTTTCCTATGTTGTACCTTTCATCCCTGTGACTTACTCATTCCACTCTAAATGAAAAATATGAAACGTGGAAAAGCATCAAAGTAGTATAACAAATATGTATGTTAAAGGAATCTCTATACGTCTGGACCATGCCTGTTAGTCTCAGGAAATATACTTGTGAATACAAATACATGGGAGGATTGTACTTCCCATATCTTGTGTATATTTAACAGAGTGGTGTTAGGATCCTGTTCTAGGTGCAGATTTCCTTCTCTTCGTATTGTACATCCACCTTCTTCTGCCCGCGTGGACTGGGAATGGGATGGGACACGTTGAGTTCAAGGCACTTCGATTTTCCTTAATGTGTTTTTCGTAAATCAGTTGAAATTTGTTTTGTACTCAAAAGGACTGAGCCCAATTCTTGCTGTAGATATAGTTTATACTCTTAAATAAACCATAGATGTACTTATTTATTACCTCACTTTTGTGGAAACAGTATGAAGTCAGGCATGATAATGTAAAATTCTGAAGTTAGATCCTGAGGTGCTTCGCATTTTAGGGCCTCTGTGCTCTTTATTAAATATTTATATTGGCTTATAAATCTCAGAAATTCTATTTCAGAGCTTGAATTAAACTGTAGACATTCTCTTTTAATCAATCAAATAAAAGTTACTGAGTATTTTCTAGGTACTCAGTACAATCAGAGAAAATTTTGAGATTATAACAAAATTTCCTAAGCTGTTCGTTTAACTCAGCCTAGAGTTTTGAAATGAATGGATAAAGAATTAATATTTTTTGCTATAATGTGTCTATTTCTTATTTACTGATACCACGTAACATAGAAATGTGACCTAAAAGGAACCCGAGGATCCACACATACATGGCATGGCTTTATTTCATGTCAACAAGACCCAGAAATGCTTCAAAAGCTTGCTTTTATGAAGTACAGAAATAGAAGACCCTTGAAATCCACAATGACATTGTAGTTTGCAAGACAGGCAACTAAAAGCCTCGCAATCATGTCAGGGAGACATGATGTTCTGAGGCTAATGTCAAATGTAGGCTTTGCAAAGTAAGGAGATTTTTTTTCACCCCCAAACCTTTTGAATTCAAACAATCTGACTTTTAGCCATGAACTTAGCAGTATTACATTAAAGAAAGTACTAATCTATCCCATTTGCTAAAAATTAGCTACAAAATCAGGTATGTGGTAGGGGTCCAAATTTATTGAATGAATTGGACTGTGAGTTCAATTTACTATGGGTGAGTATTTTTAAAACTGTACTATCCTATGCTCTGTGGACACATTATACAATTGTGTTTTGTAAAACAGCAGAAGGAAAGTCAAGAATATAGATGAATCCTTATAAAGGTAAAATAACAAATATCTTGTACTATAGCATTTGCTAATTTCTGTTTAGGGAGACAGTGTATTTTTGAACTATAATAATAATTGAAAATTGATACATCAGTGAAGATTAATATTATTACGGTAAACTTAGTAGTTATGAATTCATCAGCCTACACCACAGCTGGTTTCCTTTGGAGCATTGCATTTCTCTGATGCAAAATGAGTCAGGAGATACCATGAGTTTTTTGCTTAGCATTCATTGGAAACTGAACGTAGTCATGACTGTTGTATTTTTCTTTCTAATGTGACAGCTATTTATTTAGTGAGCCTCTAAAAGTAATATCCTCTGCTTGCTCATTGTCTGCTGGGAATTCCCACTTGCAATGGCAAGATGAGGATCTTGAAGTCCATACTGTAAAACAGTGATCTAATGTTCTGCTTCTCTTCCACAAAGTCAAAATGTCATGATATAAGAAAGAATTGTGCCTGTATTTGATTTTGTGTATACATATCCAAGCTAAATTCAAAGAGAATTATTTAAACCTTGTAAATTGAGTATATAGCAATTGAATATAAATCATACCAGATAACTTAGAGTTTTGTTTTGTGTTATTTTGTTTTCCACAAGCATTGGAGAACATTTTAATTTCAACTCAGATGCATTAAATATCGAGGTCAAGTGGTCTATGTATGTATGTAATGTATATTTCTCCAGTCTTTTGGAAATATCTTCATGTGCCACAATGTCTATTTAAGGATTTTTGAAGTACTCCAGAAAAGAGTTATTGACCCCATTTTTACAAAATGTTACCCTGTTTAGCCCATACCAGACAAGGTCTTGTGAAAAAATTGTTAAATAAGAACAAATATTATTTTAAAGTGAAAGCTTATCAGAACACATTGCTTTGTAGATTAATCGTGGTTTTTATGGCTTTTATGGCTATCATTTACTCAGCAGATATAAGTTAGTTTCTTATAATTTCAGAATGAATGGGAGCTCTTTAGATTTCAGGATCAACTTCGTGTTTTCAAACTGTTTTCAGAAGATATATTCTCTTTATTCGGTAACTCTCAATGAATTGTCATGGCATTATGAAGAGGATTTTTTTTTTTCATTAAATGTTTGAGTAATGTATATTTTGATGAATAGAACAAATTTTCTTGCCTTCACATTTCTCAGGCAGATTCTTTAGGTAGTCAACATTATACAACTGTTGAGATATGAGGCCAAACAAGTAGGGTTAGGAACCAGCAAAGCAGAACCGACGAAGTGATCTCAGAGAAGAATTTCAGTTCATTTTCAGTGTTCTGTTTGCAGTTGACATAAGGTATTATGAAAATAAAGGTCATATTATGGGACAATCTTAAAATAATGGAAAGAATCCAAAAGCATTTTTCTTAGAGGTCCAAGTATTAGAAGTGTGACCACCAAATTAACTTTCTAGTCCCCTGAGAATGGAAATAAAAATGATACCATATCATATCCATCTTTACTGGAAGTATCTTGTTTTTAAACTTCACTAATTTATGTGTTCTTGTTTCTATCTAAAGTAACACAGACTCTGAATCATTCTACTTTGATAAGCAGAATATACTCTTTATACTATTTTAAAAATCCATAGATTTGTTTTTATTCATTTTATTTTTGCCAGTTGTCACTTAGAAGTTGTAAAGAGGTTTTTTTGTTTTGTTTTCTTGTTTTTTTTCCTTTTGTTTGTTTTTTTCTTTGCTTATTTTCTTATTAGAGAATCTTCCTCTGGGAAAATCTAGTTATAGGTAACTTCTTACTTGTGCCCTAAGGGGGCCATATTTTCATTTACTGGCTCTTTTCTCTAACTCCTTCTTAGTTTTCCCTGTGCGCTTGCCATAATTACATTTGGGTCGACTTTATAAAGTCTGATAGCGTCTAGCAAGACTTTTCCCAGGTAATTACTTGTCTCTCAAGAGGTGTTCCCAAGATGATATATGTGTGTATTCCTAATTACTGTGAACACCTCTTATGAAAGCATCCTCTCTAATTACTTTAAAAAGCTATCTTTCATTAAAGTCATTTTTCTTCTAGCCAACCCAGTGGTGGATATTCATAAAGTTATAATTCCTGATATGTGAATGCTTAACCAGAATGCTGTTTGCATCTGTTTTCTTATTCTAGGCTAGCTTCTTCTGTGACGTGTGAATCTTACTCTTGTGAAATAGGGACTCAGGAAGACACGTAAGCAAGAGTCTAGTGAGAATTAGGGCAGAGTAGTACCTGAGGTGTTCTGTACTGCCTGTCTTAAGTCTTGGTTCCTTCCTGACTCACTGTTGTTGGGTGTGGCTGTTATGGCCTGGGGAGCTATTAGTAATGCCTAGAAACTTTAACCACCAATTGGCCCATGGCCACAAATGGAAAGGTGAACAGAGGATGGGGCTTTTCCTGGGATTTGCCTGGCATTATAAAAGCAGTACTAGACTAGAGGCTCTTTTATCAGGGGTCTACCACTAACTAGTTAGAGATTGAACAAGTCATTGTAACTTCATTTATTTAGTGAAAGACATGAAGCAAAGCCTTTTAGTGTTTTGTCGTTGTTTATTTAAATTCAAGTTAGTTAGCATACAGTGTAGTACTGGTTTCAGGAATCGAAATGCGTGATTCATCACTTACATGTAACATCCAGTGCTCATCCCAACAAGTGCCCTTGTTAATGTCCATCACCCATTTAGCCCATCCCCGTACCTCCCCTCCTGCAACCCTCCCTCTGTTCTCTGTATTCAACAGTCTCTTATGGTTTGCCACTCCTGTTTTTATCTTATTTTACTTTTCTTTAACTCCCCTATATTCATATGTTTTGTTTCTTAAATTCCACATATGAGTGAAATCACATATTTGTCTTTTTCTGACTTATTTCACTTAGCATAAAACACTAGTTCCATCCACAATTTTGCAAATGGCAAGATTTCATTCTAATATTCGTGTCCACATCTCTGATAGCGCTTAACAATTCAAGAGTATTTCAATATGTTATACTCCTTGCTGAATTAGTTCATTATATGAATAATTTTAATTGTGTCATAGTGTGTCACTTCCATCTGTATGACTTTGTGATCATATCCTGCCCAGCTGAGTGATATGGATCTATTTATCAATGCCTTTATTAGGCTAGGGTCATCACTCTCCTAATGTTCCCAATTTTTTTTTTAAGACTTTCCTCTTTGCCTTTCTTATTACAACTCTTACTGTGAATACTTTCATGCTTTGAATTTGAGTCAAAATTATTTCCAGGAAATGTGTTTTGCTTAGATTTAATGACATGTTTCGATCTTGTGACATTAATTTGAATACCTCTTCTCTAAATAAAATGCATTACATGTTTATATATGAATGATATATAATATATAATATAATATAACAATATAACATTGTATGTGTATGTATATGTGTATGTATGTGTGGGAGAGAGAGATATCTTGTTAAAATTGCACAGACCCTGCTATA